TGCAATGACAGAAAAGTTATATACGTTTTCTCCAAATGGCGGCCACCAGCCACACGTGGCTGTTAAGTACCTAATACAGCTAAAGAGGAACTAAATTTTTAATCTGAATTTTATTTACTTTTAATGAACTTAACTATAGGTACATGTGGCTAAAAGTGCTGTCCTGGGAAGCACAGGTGTAACAGGAGCGTTCAAAGGTCTACAAAACAAAAGACTTCCCCTATGCTGCACATGCTTCAAAGCTCCCACCTGTTTCCTCATTTTCTCTGCATCTTGTGTTTACCTCCCAGTCTGCCCATCAGTACTTCTGGGTTTTCCTTTCCTGTTACAGCCATCACTGGAGTCCTACACATTCTTCAGATCTCAACTAGGAGACTCTCACCCCTGAGACTCCACTACCTGGGACAGGGCCGCTGCAAATCATTTGCCAGGTACAGTGCACAGCACTTTATGAATCAGTTTCTCATTCCCTCCACAACCACTATGGAGGTGGGAATTACTACCATGGATGAGGAAACTGAGGCTTGGAGAGCCAGGGATCACTAAGCCATGAGCAAAGTCAGGATTCAAAGTGGCTGGCTCCTCCACTGGCAGAGCTTTACTGCTAGGTCAAGAGGAGTGGCCCACTAGTGAGCCATGGAAACCGTTTGGAAGGCACCAACCAGCACTTTCTCTTTTTAACTTTATTAGCCAGCACTTAATTTTAATAAAATTAATTATTTTATTTTAATAAAATAAATGGCAACAGAAAATATTAGAGTGTATCACATTGGTAAGGGCTATCTCAGATGGATTTCTCAGATGAAGACTTAAAATGTATTTTCTATTGTTTGAGAAATGTTAGTGAACCATTCATTATAAGGCTTTCTCTGAGTGAAAGGGGAGCCACTGGAAGGTTCAAGCAAAGAAATTACATGATCCTTCTGGCTGCTGTGTTGAGAACAGAATATAGAAGGAAAGACCAGAAGCAGTGAAACCAGATAGACTATTATAACAAGTCAAAGACAAGGCAAGAGGGCTGGGGGTTGTGGCTCACTGATCGAGCGCTCTCCTGGCACACATGAGGCACTGAGTTCGATCCTCAGCACCACATAAAAATAAAACAAAGGTATGTGTCCTCCTACAACTAAAAAAAAAAAAAAAAAAAAAGAGGACTGTTCAGGTGAAATCTGAAAGTAGTAAAATGATCCCCAATGAAGGGGAATGATTCTGTATGATACTGTAATGGTGACCAGCAGACATTAAGCAGTCATCAAAAACTATAAAAATTGTCAAGTGCAGTGGTGCATGCCTGTAACTTGTGACTCAGGAGGCTGAGGCAGGAGGATCACAAGTTCAAGGCCAGCCTGGGCAACTTAGACCTTGTCTCAAAATATAAAATAAAAAGAGATGGGCTAGGGTTGTGGCTCAGCGGTAGAGCACTCGCCTAGCACATGTGAGGTGGTGGGTTGATCCTCAGCACCACATAAAAATAAACAAATAACGGGCTGGGGATGTGGCTCAAGCGGTAGCGCGCTCGCCTGGCATGTGTGCGGCCCGGGTTCGATCCTCAGCACCACATACAAACAAAGATGTTGTGTCCACCGAGAACTAAAAAAAATAAATAAATATTAAAAAAAAAAAAAACAAATAAAATAAAGGAAAAAAAAGGGATGGGGATATAGTTCAGTGGTAAAGCAACCCTGGGTTCAATCCCCAGTACTTCAGGCTGTAAAATTTTACGGCACAAAGAGCAAATTGAATGTTTTAAAATGCTAATATTTTTAAAAATCACAGGTCCAGAAATCTCAGGATGGAATGCAGATGGTGACATTCTGAATCCAAATGTATTATAAACAACTTCACTGAAAGGGTGGAAGGAATAAGATGATGACCTACATAACTTTAGAAATGAGAGGTCTGTAAAACCAAAGGCAAAAGGTACATATGAATTATACTCTAGTTGATAAAGTTGCTTTCCACAAGGTATACAGGTAAACAATTCTGAAAACCCTATACGTGTACACCAGAATAAGCAAAGGGATGGTGGCAGTCATAGGTGGAGTGAGAAGTCACAGATTAGAAAAGGAAACTAGAATAATCCACACAGTAATAAGGAATGAGAGTTGAGGAATCAATATGCTTAGTTTACTAGATACATTTACATATAGAAATATTTATAGAGGGCTGGAGTTGTGGCTCAGTAGCAGAGCACTTCCCTTGCACATGTGAGGCACTGGGTTCGACCCTCAGCATCACATAAAAATAAATAAAATAAATAAAGACATTGTGTTCATGTATAAGTAAAAAAAAATTTTAACAGAAATATTTACAGATACATGTATATACACATATGTCTCTTACTCTGTCCACTTATATGGCCTAGAAGCAAGGACAGACACCCCAGTAGCAATGAGCACAACATATGTCCAGATATTAGTTTCTGGGCCATTCTCCAATAAAAAGAACCAAGACTCCTTGGTAAACGGCTAATTCGAAGACTGGGGAAGAAATACACAGGATGACCCTGATGCATAAAAATATGTAAGTGCTTAAAAAAAACTAAGCAAACAAATGAAACATTAAGGGGGTTACATCAGCAGGAGAGCTCCCAATAGCAACACCTGAAACAATCAGAGCAACAAAATGAAGTAGTAATGGGTTACAACCCAAAGTACAAAATAAATACCGAGTCTATACTGACAAAAATAAATGTTTGAATAAGTAAATAAATGGTGGAGCACAGAAAAATCTCCCATGGAAGCCAGACACAGTGGCACTCATCTGTAATTCCAGCTACTTAGAGGCTGAGATAGGAGGATCACAAGTTCAAGACCAGCCTCAGCAATTTAGCAAGACCCGCCTCAGCAATTTAGCAAGACCCTGTCTCAAAATAAAAAATAAAAAGGGCTAGTGATATAACCCAATGGTAGAGTGCCCCTGGATTCAATCCCCAGGACCAAAATAAAATAAAATCTCCATGGAGAATTCCGAATAATTTATGTAGATACTCCACTTTTAAGTGTGGGGCATAATTCCACACTTCTAAGCGTGGGCTGTGGATAATTACTTTCTTCCAAGAGTATACGGTATGAAAATGCAGTGAGAGGAGTAAATTTACAGTAAAACAAAACAAAACAAAACCCTGACTACTGCCTCAAGCCAACAGTGATAACCCACACTGGTTCTCTGTACTCTCCTTGAAACCCAGTCTAAGCAGAAGAACTGACAAATCCCAACTGGTAGGTTATTCAGCAAAGTATCTAACCATAATCCTCAAAACTGCCAGGATCACTCAAACAGGGAAAATATGAGAAACCATTACAGCCAAAAAGGGTGAAAGGAGACAAGACTATTAAAGGTACTGTGGTCGGGGCTGTGGCTCAGTGGTAGAGCACTTGCCTGGCATGTGTGAGGCACTGGGTTCGATTCTCAGCACCGCATATAAATAAATAAAATAAAGGTCCATCAACAACTAAAACAATGTTAAAAAAAAAAAAAAAAAAAAGAAGGTACTATGGTCACCTAGATGGGATCCTGGTACAGAAAAAGGGCATTAGGGAAAAAACTGAGAAAATCTGAATAATTTGGCAAATGTACTGCATGAGAACTCCCTTCAGTATAGTCACAATAATTTTGTAAATCTGAGTGGCACACACATGTAATCCCAGTGACTCCAGAGCTGATAGGATGGCAAGTTTGAGGTCAGCCTGAGCAACTCAGCGTGACTCCTTTCAAAATAAAATAAAACATAAAAAGGACTAGGGAGGGCTAGGGATGTAGCTCAGTAGTAAAGCACACCTGGATTTAATTCCCAGCACACACCCAAAAATTATAACATTATATTATAATAAAAATTATGCAAATGTGGTCTTTCTCTCAAAATATTTTTCCCGTACTCACCCTTCCTGTGGTGAGGACACAATGCCTACATAATGAGGTTAGGTGAGGTGAATGATGTAGGCACTGTGATGCAGTGTTAAGCTACTATTAACTTTCATTTGCTTCAGTTGATCCTGAATCACGGGCCAAGACAACCATGGGCGGTTGGATGTCAAGAACAGATAATGTTGACGGCTGGGGGCTGGGGATTCTTTTTTTTTAGAAATTTTATTAGTTGTTGATGGATATTTATTCATTTATTTATATGTGGTGCTGAGAATCCAACCCAGTGCCTCACACATGCCAGGCAAGTGCTCTACCACTGAGCCATAACCCCAGCCCTGGCTGGGGATTCTTTTTTTTTTTTAAGAATATTTATTTCTTAGTTTTCGGCGGACACAACATCTTTGTTTGTATGAGCGCGCTACCGCCTGAGCCACATCCCCAGCCCTGGCTGGGGATTTATAGGAGAATTTTTTTGTGGCAAAAATCTTTCAGAACACTATAATCAGAAGTTATCTCTTGGGCCAGGGGTTGTGACACAGTGTTCACTTGCCTGGCATGTGTGAGTCACTGGCTTCGATTCTCAACACCATATATGACTAAAATAAAGGTCCATCAACAGAAAATATATATGTATACACACACACATATTTTTTAAAAAAGAAGTTCTCTCTTCTTTTTAAGTTTAAATGTGTCACCTCAGACACTGTAATCGTTTGGTAATCATATAAGAGATTTTAATGCTGTGTTCACCAAGGACAATATATATAATTTTGTTCTTCAGTGAAAATTCAAAACACTTTGGCAAATTTTGATAACACCCACTCTGCTACAGCTTCTTCCAATTCCCTACTTGTTAACTTGATGGCCTTCAACATTCTTCCACTTCCACTAGAAAGGTGGTAGTTGCAACCTCTTCAGTAATTTTTATATTTTGCAGTTCAAATCTATCCTTGAATCTGTGTAACCATCCCTGACCTGCACTAAATGGCTTCATGTTTCAGGGGATCCCTTACTGAAATCTTCAAGCAGGCTCAATGCTTTCTGGTACCAAACACTGTCATCAATAGGAACATTTTCTCTTCACTTCTTCCACCCACAAATTCAATGCCTTTCCATCTTCACTAAGCACTTACCACACGCTGTGACTGTAACTTTCGCAAGCTGAGGCATGACAGCAGGACTTTCTTCTTCACAATTTCACGGACAGGAGATTCATTCCTACCATAGATTTTAGCAACCTCAACATACTTTATTTTCTTTCCTTAGTAAGTCAGCTTAGAGGAAGGACTTTTTGGCTTGTCTTGGGCATATCCAAATTGCCAGCATCACTCATCTTGGGCTTGGGGCCTACTACTAACTAAAATAAAAGTTGCCTGAGCACAAGCACCGCAGTGCAGCATCTGATAACTTAGATGATGGCTGTTAAGTGACCACTGAGTCGGTAGCACATACAGTATGGAATCATTGTACAAAAAGGATGATTCACGTTTAGGACCAGAAGGAGGGGGATGGCGCGAGATTCATCACGCTACTCACACCTCACAATTTAAAACTTACCAATTGTTTATTTCTCGAGTTTTCCACTTAATATTTTCAGACCACAGGTAAGTGAAACTGCGGATAGGTGAGAGAATATTGTACTCATCTCCCCCTTTCCTTAGAGAACTAATGCATCCTCAGACACCGAGGCTCTACATTCACTACCTCCTGTAATGCTCAGGACAGGCCTGTGTGCCCGTTTTACAGAGGTGCAAATTGAGAACCAGAGAGGAAATGCGACCAGCCCACAGTTGCACAGTGATGCAAGGCACACTGGGGATCCGAACGCCGGGCCGACTTACTCCAGAGCTGAGGCTCCACCTGTTGCAAGAGTGGCTGGACTTGGCTGTGAGGAGCCCGGCGTTCCGGCCCGGGCTCGGGACTAAAGAGCTGGGGGGCACCAAACCCTCCCAGGAACTCCAATTCCCCACTACGAGTCACTTGCCACGCGCGCCCTGGCCGCCGCGCCATCACCCGCCCCTCCGCTCGGTTCCCGCCACAGCTCCAACTCCGCCCCGCCCGGAACCCCGGCCCGCCGCCCGCTCCTCCGCACTCACCTCCCGCGCCGCCGCGCTTCTGCCCCGGAAGTAGCTCCTGTGACCCCGTGTCCCGGAAGTGACGCGCCCGCGTGGCCGGGGTCGTGGCGAGAGCGGCTGCTGGGCTTCCTTGGGCTTCGTTGGGGTTCCGTTCCTTGCACCGGGATCCTCGCAGCGAGGCCGGGGGAGGAAAGGCCCAGACCCTCTCGATTCCCCAAGCCCTTTATCACTTAGCACGTTTCAGGAAGCCTTTACAGAAGCCTTGATTCTAAGTTAGGCCCTGAGCTAGGAGCCCACAGCGCCGACGGAGGCGAACCGAAACACCTAATTGACAGAAGGAAATCATCATGATTCGTTGGAAAAACATCCCTCGAGCTTCTTGTGTCGAGGGAGATGGAGGGAAATAAATAAATGAACATGGAATCATGATACGTGTTTGGAAGGCAAAGAACAGTCTCTGATTAGAAGGGGCGAGCCACGTGGCTGGGTTAAAGGAGACCTAGTTGGTTAGACAGAATGCGGCACCCAACCTCCACCGAGCGGAGGATGACTGCCTCCTGAAATCCGCGACCCGTGTAACCCATAGGACATGGTGGAAATCATGGAGCACCACTTTGAGATTAAGTCAGAAACGACATTGCAAGTTCCTCTTCGCTCTCTGGATTACTCATGGGAAATCCCATGTTGTGAGGACACTAGGGCAGCCCTATGGAAAGGTTCTCGTGGGTGGTCACCAGACTTGCCTACGACAGCTCCAACTCGGTCAATTCAGACAGCTCCAACTCGGTCAATTCAGCCAAAAGTATGAGCCACCTTGGGAGTTGACTCTTAAGTCTCAGTTCAGATGACTGTAGGTCGCCCTGAGAAAGATCTTGAGAATTATAACTTCATGACTGGGGAAACAACCAGAAAAGCTACTAGGATCCCTGACCCACAGAAATTAAAATAATAGTACAGGAATTATAAATTATAACGTATTTCCAAGCTCTGGTTTCAGAATAATTTATCATGCCTCATACATAACTAATACCTAGAGGACAGAGGAAGGGTTAAATGCTAGACATTAAAAATAAAATGAGACCTATCTTACCTTCATGAATATCTTGGCCTGTAATTCCAGCTATTGGGGAGGCTGAGGCAGGAGGATCACAAGTTCAAAACCAACCTCAGCAACTTAGCAAGGCCCTAAGCAACTTAGTGACACTCCATCTCAAGATAAAAAATGGCTGGGGATGTGGCTCAGAACTTAAGTGCCCCTGGGTTTAGTCCCCAGTATCAAAAAATAAATAAAAAAGAATATCATTCTGGGCCAGTGGAACATACCAGTAATCCCAACAACTCAGGAGGCAGAGACAGGAAGATCACAAGTTCAAGGCCAGCCTTAGCAGTTTAGCAAGGCCTTCATTGTCTCCCAAAAAAAGGGCTGGGGTTGTAGCTCAAAAATAAAGTGTCCCTGGGCTCAATCCCCAGTACCAAAAGAAGAAGCATCAATCTCCTCGCCCCTTCCCTCTCTTTCCAATGTTTGGGATGGAACCCGGGGCCTCGCCTACCACTGAGCTACATGTAGGAGTTTGTTCTCTCTTGGAGGACAGGGCAGAAATTCACTAATCTCCCACTATGTGAGGTAATATGGGAAATACAAAGATGCAAATTTGTTTAATAAATTCCTATGGAGTTTCTGCTCCACATCCTGCATGATGTCACTAGGAAGAATGTGAGTAGGTTGGACTCTACCCTGACTGTGTCAATCCCACAGACAAATGTATACTTACAAAGCATGAGATGAATTAGGAAGAAAGAAAAGAAACCATGTGAATAAATAAAATGAGAGATACAATCAAGATAGGATGATCAGGGAAGATCTCTCTGAGACGGTAACATTTAGAGTAAGAATGAAGAATGAGTAGGAATTTGCCAGGCAAAGAGAGGAAGGAAAGAGCATGGTGGGGGCGTAGGTGGAGGTTGGTCAGAAATGGATGTAGCAGTGAGAACTAAGTCCTGAAGGTGACATATAGGACAGGACCTGGTACTTGTCCTAGAGGAGCCCTCTATGGGGTATGATGAGAAGGGTGATTTATGGATTGAATTAAGTCCCCCCAAAATATATGTTGGGATCCTCACCTCAGGTTCCTCAGGATGTGATCTTAGTTGAAGAAAGGCTTTTAACAAAATGATCAGGTTACAATGAGGTCATTAGGAGACCTAACACAAAAAGGAGAAGCTTGGACACAGGTGCACATATAAGGAGGATGTCATGTGACAACAGCGACGCTTCTACAGCCAAGAAACACCAAAGATGGCCAACAAACCACTCGAAGCTAAGGCAGAGCCAAGGAAAAAATTCCTTGCTGCCCTCAGAAGCTTTCAACAGACACCTTGATTTCAGATTCCTTGCTTCCAAGAACTGAGAAAATAAATATCTGTTGTTAAGCCACCCCCGCTCGTGGTATGTACTTCATTATGGCAGCTCTAGTATATAGTTACACAGATGCTTTGAAACCTGTTACTCTCTGTATCCAAATGTAAAAGATCCCTGGTGTGACTGCTGCAGGTACAGCTACTTTCTCACCTTCTAGAAGCTTCTTGAGGTCTCCAGCTGAGTTTTGCTCATCTCTGTGCCCTGCATGGCTCCATTAGCACCACAGCACAGTAGGGAGCTTCGTGGCATGTGTGTTCCTGTCCATAATATCTATGCAAGCACAGTGCTTCATTATGAAGGAGATAACATTGAAAAAGAAATGATCTCTGCTCTGAAAAAAAAATCTGAAGTAGCTTAACATGTGATGGGTGGGCCGGTTTTATCAGTATTAATTATAGCTGTCAGGCTGGGGTTGTGGCTCAGAGGTAAAGCTCTGCCTAGCATACCTGAGACACTGGGTTTGAGCCTCAGAACCACATAAAGTAAAATAAAGATATTGTGTCCACCTATAACTAATATATACATATATATATTAAAAAATTATAGCTATCATTTATTATATATTCATTACTTTACACAGATGAAATTCTCCTCCCGGCAACCCTACAAGGTAGACATTATTGTTCCTACCTTATAGGTGAAGGCTAGAAAAGTTTAGCAGATTGCGTGCCTGCATAACCATCGCAGAACCCAGCCAACCTGAGTGCCCTAGGAAGAGGGGAAGGATGGGCAGACACTAAGACATCTGGGAATGCTTCATGACTGCTGTCCTCTAGGCAGTGGAGACATCCTCCATGTACAGCAATGTCAGGGACCTGTCCATCTCAGAATTCATGGGGCCCAACAGCAGTGGGGACTCACCACATCTAGACTTTCACTGGGTGTCCAGGAGCCTCTCAGCAAATAGCAAACTTTGGTTGCTCAAGACCCGTTCTCCTGTTTTCTACAAGGTGTGAAGTCAGGGTCAGATCCTATGCCTGAGCACCAGGACCTTCCAGCAGGTCTGCTACAAAAGAGGACAGGCCACATTTGAATGCTGGGTCATTAGAAGGGGCATCCAATAGAATTTCTATCAGAAGATAAATCACACATCAACATCCCAGAGGATCAACCTTCCTAAGAAAATCCCAACATCTGCCCTGTACTTGAGACCTGGATTTACACAGTTCAAACACCTGAAAATCTTTCTGTAGCAGGCACTGCCTGAGCACTGACTGCATTTCTGATAGAGACTGGGGATAAGACCTTGGGCTCTAGTGTACAGAGACAGATGTAGCAACAAACTGACACAGTAGGATGTTTGAGTTCCGAGTGACACAGGTTTGGCAATCTCAGAAGGCTTCCTAGAGGAGGTGAAAGCTAATCCCCAAGAGAAGGGTACAGCAGAGACAGGACCCAGGCCAGGGCTTGTACTACTCCTACTACCACCACCCCCATGCAGAGTCCAGAACTTCATTTCTCTGAAATGTTCAGTCATGGAAGCAGCACAGACTTCTTGCGCCCAGCATCTGGTTGGTATTAATTACCTCCACATTTATTAAGTGCCCCATTAAACTTGGCTCTGACAGCACAGTTGGCTCCCTGGGTTAAATCCACACTAAATATTCAATTATACACAGCACAAGCAGAATCATATCTGGCAGGGATTAGCTCACTTGTCCCGGGAAGGCGCTTTTCCAGCTGAATAACAATGGCTCCTTTTAATCATGTAGTGTTTTCCTCTTGAGGGACTTTAAGCTGGGCCGTCTCCCAAGGGAGACAGAAACTGGGTGTCATCCTCTCCATTTGTAGTTGATGAACTCCGCGAAGAGAGCTGGCCCTCACCACATAAGCTGGAATTGTACTCCTCCTTCAGGGCCCAGCTCAAATTACTGCAGTCTTGAAGATTTCTTGGTTCCCTCATGAGAATCTCCAGGCAGTGTTTGACCACAAAAGAAGCTCTGGCTTAAGAAAAATGGCTGGGCCCTCGCTGCACACGGGGCCCTGTGATGGGTATCTGATCTGCATTTGATCATCTGATCCTCCCAGCAATTCCAAAGGGGTGTTTCCATTTCCCAGCTGATGAAATGGAGGCATAGAGAAGTTGAGTGGTGGGTCTAGGATTAGTTGTACACTAATAAGTGTTACAGCCAGCCTCAACACCAGGTCTGCAAGCCCACACACAAGCCTGGTCCATTCACACAGTAAACATGCATTTATTGATCACTTACTATATACACAGGGTTAGGTAGGAGTAAAATACTTTCCAG